AAATAACTGGATAATTGCTAACACATAATATGATAGCTACAAATACAGAAACTATCAACAACAGGTATAGAATGTGTCAACTATAGATATTAGATACTTGATAATTGCTGACACATAATATGATAGTTACAAATACAGAAACTATCAACTGCAGGTACAAAATGTGTCAACTATAGATACAGAATCCGACTTGATAATAATTGCTGACATATAATATGATAGCTACATGTACAAAAACTATCAACTGTAGGTATAGAATGTGTTAACTATAGATACAGAATCTAAATGTTATTTTTAGACCAGGATCTACAATGCAAGGTAGACCCTGGTCCATGGTATAATTTGCCCTTGTAGCTTGACGACACATCTGTGACTCTCCCAAATGGAAGGTCACAAGTTCAAATTTCAGTTGTAGGCATTGATTCTTTGTACTCCAATATGGACTCTTTGTGTGTTTCAATAGGTTGAGAAAGTATATAGGAACGGATAAGTAATAATAATAAAAGTAACACCTTACACGTTAGGAAAAGTTGAAAAAAATTTCATTTTTTTATATATATTAAAGAAGAAGAAGAAATGGCAAAGACTGAAAACCTGGGCTGGAGGACATTATTTAAATATTTAAGGGAACAAAACGAAGAAGGCTGGCAGGCAGGCAGGCAGAGCATACCGATTTATCCCAAAGACTGAGGCAGGTGAAGTGAGGAGCTAACCATTGTGTTTGTCCATGGCTTCTCTTCTCAACACCCTGCCTTCTCTAAAGCTATCCAGCATAACCAATAACCCACTTCCAACTCCACAACTTGCATCCCCAATCTTTGTCTTGCCTTCAAGTAAGTCAACTCTCTCATTTCTCCAATCTTCAATACTCTTTTCTGGGTTTTCACTATTTTGATCACCAATGTATTTGTACTGTCTAGGGAGAAGGCTTGTAGTGAGAGCAACAGAGACCGACAGTGAAGGTAAACCATGAGCTTTTATTGTTAATGGTTGGCAAACTTGTCTTTCTTTTCTGCTTTTGTATTTGAGTGGAAAGATTGGTGCTTTTAGATAAGGGTTTTAATGGGGTTTTTCTTGGATTGTTTTTTTGTAGCAGTTAAAGCCAGTGCACCAGATAGAGCACCGGCATCCGGTGGTTCAAGCTTTAACCAGATTCTTGGTATCAAAGGAGCCAAGCAAGAAACAGTTTGCCCTCCATGCCTTTTTCTTACTAGCTAAATCAATTTCCTAGTTTTGGTTCAATATTTGAACTAACTTTAGTGTATTGTAGTTGAAATTATTGTAGCATTTCAATCTCTTGCCACTAAATCTTTGTTTCATACATGCAAGTGCCATGAACTAAATTTAAAGAGCTAATTTTTACAGTTTTGAAGATTGATCCTTTTCTCCATTTCGGCTAGTATTATTCATTCATTTACTTATTATTTCATAGTCAAAGAACATTTCTGAATAATCAAGCATATTTTAAGGTACAGTTTTGGATTTAGAGGCATTTAATGCAAAATAATGTAGACGTGAGAATTAGCACATACTGCTGACAGAAGAAGCATAATCAATTCTATGTTTCATCATCATTTTGTATCTGCACCGGTAAGAAGAAGATTGATAGTTTGTCTTTTCATAATTGGCTCCTTCACAGGATAAATGGAAGATTCGTATTCAACTAACAAAACCTGTAACTTGGCCTCCGCTTGTATGGGGTGTGGTCTGTGGAGCTGCTGCCTCAGGTAATCCTTCTCCACACACCCTAAAAAAGCTAGTGAAGTTCATTTGTTAGTCCCTTAGCTGGTGAAGCTCAATGTTTCTGTTAAGAGTCCACATTGATAAAATAAGAGAGAACATATGGGTTTATAAGGCTATGAGTTAGACTAACTAGTTGGATTTAATCTTTAGTGTGGTTTGACCCATGCGTATTATAGCCCAGTTGAGTAACCCGAGCTCAATCTTAGTTCATAACAGTTCTATAGTTATGGTTAAACAAGTCATTCTGCATCACCCTTTTGTTCTGACTAGAACTTGCTGGTAGGGAATTTCCACTGGACTACTGAGGACGTGACGAAATCAGTTGTTTGTATGCTAATGTCTGGCCCTTTTCTAACGGGCTATACTCAGGTACTTATATCTTAGGAGCTCGTGCTAGATTGCTTTTCCGGATTAACTTTTGGCCTCATAAGCCTAAGGGTCTGATATTATTCTTTTAGACAATTAATGATTGGTATGATAGAGAGATTGATGCTATTAATGAGCCGTATCGTCCAATTCCAGCTGGTGCCATATCTGAGAACGAGGTAAATCTTGTTTGAATTTCTCTTTGATGTACACATGATCGAGCTAGAGAGTTCTCTTTAGTTCCACTGAGTATTCATTTCGAAGTGGCAAACATCATATCAGGTGATCACACAAATATGGGTGCTGCTTTTAGGAGGCCTCGTTTTGTCCGGTTTATTAGATGTGTGGGTAAGTTTTCGAAGCCGCTTCTTCTCTGGTGAATCATCTGAAGCATCTCTCAAAAGGTTTCGATCTCCTTGTAGGCAGGGCATAATTCTCCTATTATATTTTACCTAGCTCTCGGGGGCTCCTTGATATCGTATATATACTCAGCTCCACCACTAAAGGTAACTTCCTCGACCTCTCTCCGTCATTATTTTTTTGGGTCGACTATATTTGGATTCTTATTTCAAACATGATTTGCTTCAGCTCAAACAAAATGGATGGATTGGCAATTATGCTCTAGGAGCAAGTTACATCAGTTTACCTTGGTATAGTGTTCTCTATTCTCTGTATCTTGAATAGTTTTATGCCTCTCTGCAAATGAAATTTTTCTTGGAAACCATTCATGTCAGTTGTATAATGAAAAGGTTAACAAACTTTTGCAATTCACTATGAATATTTTAGAGTTAAATCTTCAACTATAATGAGTTTTCTCGATTTAGTCCTAAACGTCTTTTTTGTGCTTAATTAGGTCATCGACTTTGATGGTTTTACCCAATTAAGTCCTCTTGTTGTTAGAATCAAAGACTAAATCGAAAAACACCACTATACTGGATGACTAAATTGGGTAAAACCACTATAGTCGAAGACTAACTTGGGTAAAACTACTAAAGTCGAGGACTATAGTGGGTTTCCTCGATTTAGTCCTTGATTCTAACAGCAGAGAGGACTCAATTGGGTAAAATCATCGCATCCGAGGACCTAATTAAGCACAAAAAGACGTTTAAGACTAAATCGAGAATAGTCGAGGACTAAATTGGGTATTAACTCGAATATTTTATTATAGCTTTATACAACATATGATGTAATGGGGCATCTTTGTTTCCAAGTTGTGAGTGGAATGCAATATCTTCTATGTAGGTCTGCGATGAATGCATCTTCAATAAAGAACTTCCTCATCAGCAAGATATATATGTTCTTTAACACAGTATAACATAGCCTGCTTCAACTTTGCAAAACAGGTGGGCTGGTCAAGCTTTGTTTGGGACCCTTAATCCTGACATAATTGTTCTTACACTCTTGTATAGCCTTGCCGGGGTAATGTCTGCTCAACTTTCTTGTTCGTTTTGCATTACAAACCATGTATCTAATGCTTCTTATACTCTCTTTTAGCTGGGAATTGCGATTGTAAACGACTTCAAGAGCGTAGAAGGAGATACAGCCCTGGGACTTCAGGTCCTTGCTGCAATTTCCATTTCTCATACATGATACTTGGTGTTTCTTAATGTGCCTGGATATGATTAAAACTTTCATCTGGAATTACTTATGCAGTCGATTCCGGTAGCTTTTGGCTCTGAAACTGCTAAATGGATCTCTGTTGGTGCCATTGATGTAACTCAGATTTCAGTTGCAGGTAAGTGCTATCTTATCATAAGAAGAACCTTCCTTTTAGCTTTGTTAATGATCTTAGATAACAGTGAAACTAGCATAAATTTCTGGGTTTTAAATTGTTTTTATTTGGATGACGGGAAACCCACAACTCTTTCGAGTGTGAGTAAATCCTGTCTTGTGACCCTAACCGGCAAAAGAACACAAAAAGTAAACCAGCTTAGGTTACCTATAGCTGACCAGCTCAAACCAAAGTGGACTGGCCCGGTTTTAGATTCTTGTAAGAGAAAAGTGTAGATTTCAATATTTCTGGGTTATAGAGTTGCAGGTTTTCCTCACTGCATTAGCTATTGCTTGCAGGCTATCTTCTTGGTGCTGGCAAACCATATTATGCCTTAGCACTTCTTGGCCTAATCGTTCCACAAGTCTTTTTCCAGGTAAGCAATATTTTTATTAATTAGTCTTTATCATTGTTTTATCTTCAATTCTGGGGCAAAAAGGAAGTAAAAAGAAAAAACGAAATGGTGGTTTGAGCTAGCTAACTCTTCTTGATGTGCCCCTGCAGTTCAAATACTTCCTCAGAGACCCAGTCAAATATGATGTCAAGTATCAGGTACTCTAAACCATATGGTTTGTTTTTTCTGGTTAGGGCCTTTGCCCAACCATACAGCCAAACGCTTACTATTACACTAAAAATTATAGACAAATTACTACGTCAAAAGTTATAACTAATAGCAAAGACACAGTTTATTTTTTCATTTTTTCATAAACCGTCATCATATTTTCTAGAGACAAAATACTAAACTTGACCCTTGATTGACGTCTGCCCAACAATTCCGCCCTTTATTGGTGTGACAAACCTTTGAACTTCTGAGCTGCTAATGTTATTTTTTCTTTTGATTACAGGCTTGTGCACAACCATTTCTTATTCTTGGTCTTTTGGTCACTGCATTAGCAACTAGTCATTGATCTTCGTCGTGTCGCCCACACAGAAAGAAACAAGAACAAGAACAAGAACAAGAACAGCATACTCGAAATCATACAGTAGTTAGGTCCGTAGCCATGGAAAATAAGATTATTGATCCAATTTGTGTTCCTAGTCTATCATAAGTAACAAATTAAAAGCATGTCTTAGCTTGTATATTGGTTCAGTTTTGTGGTTCCACTGGATCGCCCAGATCTTGTCTCAACATTTTCTTTATAAATTTCTTGAAATTTGGAGGACCATAAGCTAAGCAATACATGCAGACTCGCAGAATTGAAGCAACTAGATATAAACGTTACATAAACCATGCATAACAGGCCGGCATGGACCAAAACAAAGACATAATATATATTGTTTTAAAGTTTGTTTTAAGCACGATGGGTCTTGAACTTGGATTCGTCAATATGGATGCCTTCCTCGGCGGCGCGTTCGCCGCCGGACTTGTCCATGGTGCTGAGACCACCTTTGCGGCCCATTTCCTGGTACCCTTCTGTACCCAGTTGATCCTTCCTGGTTTGCCCTCCTTTGCTTCCCATCTCCTGATACCCTTGCGTTCCTAGCTGCTCTTTTCTCGTCAGCCCTCCACGGCTTCTCCCCTCCGCCAGATGCTCTTGCGCTTCCAGGCTCTTGCCGCCGGTGCCGCCGGGAACCACCGTCTCACCTTGCCTAGCTCTAGCATCCAGCTCTTGCCTTTCCTGCCCTGACGCCATTGATAAAAAAAAAATATAGATCAAATCACCTTCTTTAATTCGATATGATAGAATTATATTGCGAGTTAATTATATATACCCCGTAAGCATATATATATATATAGAGAGAGAGATAGGGAAAGGTAATCATATATTATATATATCATCGGTGGAAATGAAGACAGTTGGGGTGAGCAGAGGACGCCACCGCATCACGGCGACACGCTGTTGCTTAGTCAGATGAGCAGCTACACCAATCTCACTCACAGTATAGCACGTACGTCTTCTTGCTACCTTCTAATCGTTCCGGCATCTTCGAATCCAAAGTGAACCACGCTATAACATGGAGAGAAATTAAGTTGACGTGCATGCATGCATGAAGGTAGGCTCAAACCGCCTCTTCCAATCTCACCACCACCATTGCTTTTAGTTTATTGACTTGTTTCCACAACAGTTAATTCCGCAAATAGTTTATTGAGTATTGACATTTATTAATTTTTATTATTATCCTTAATTTTCAATTGAATCATAAATATTTTTACTATTGATACTTATCAATTTTTATCATCGATTTTTAATTTGACTATATATGATCTATTAATTATTGATTTTGTTTAAAATTTGATCTTTCACTTAAATATCAATTTACTAATAATTAAATTTAAGGGTAATACGATAAAAATTTAGTTCTATCACATTCCACGGATGATGAACGTAATTTATTAGGTTTATGAACTCAATTTTACCATCTCAACAAAAAGTCAATTTTTATATTATTACCCTTAAATTTAATATTTATTAAAGGAAAAAATCACTGTTTTAGTCCATCAATTATTTTTGAACTATCAATTTAGTCTGTAATTTTCAATTTGATTGAATTGATCCTTCGATTTAATTGTTTTAAATTTCATCAATTACATTCCCTAGACACTGTTTTGGTAACTGACGGTTGATGGATGGAATAGAGGTTAGGGGACTTAATTGACGAAATTTAAAAAAATTGGAGAGTCAATTTGACCAAATTAAAAATAAGAAACTAAATTGACAGTTGCAAAACAATTGAGAGACCAAAATAGTGTTTTTTTTCTTTTACTAAATGAATATTTAACTGGAGGACCAAATTTGAGACAAAATCAATAGTCAAATGATCATTTATGGTCAAATTGAAAGTCGATGATGAAAATTGGTAAATGTCAATAGTCAAGGAACTATTTATGATTCAATTGAAAGTTAGAGATAAAAATTGACAAATATTAATAATCAACGACCATTTATGAAATTAACTCTTTCCACAATTATATTTGTAGACACCGAAAATTTGAACTCGATAAATGGACCGATTAAAGTGTAATTGGGCTAATGTTGAGAATGATGATTGGGCCAATTTGATTAATTGGATCATGGAAATTAATTTAATTTAATTAGCCCAATTAAGTTTGATTTGGGCCATTGAATTAATTAATTAGTTGGCCCAAACCCGTTTTATGTTTGAATTTAAATTATAATTATAATTTAAATAATTTAAATATAATATTAATTTTATTATATTTGAATTAGATAATTATAATTTAATTTGAATTTGAATTAGATTATATAATAATGAACCTGAACTTGATCTTGGACAAGGTTCATTTTCTTAATTAATTAATTAATTAATTAGTTAACTAAAAAGGGGGGTTGGTTGAGGAATTTTGGTTAAGCTTTTAGTATAAATAGGGCCTTCATTTTCATTCCAAAAGACAACGATTGAAGACTTGAGAAGTTAAAGACGTGAAGGCTTTGAAGGCATTGAAGAACGCTTGACAACTTGAAGGCTTGAGAGCTTAAAGGAACTGAAGAACGCTTGAAGATTTGAAGGCATTTTTGTTGATTTTGCAGGCAATTTGAATCCATTGCAGGGTTGATTACTTCTAAATTCTTGACGCTCGTTGTTGGAAGTTACGCCACTTAAATCCCGGAAGCTACGCCACTTGAATCCCGGAGGCACGCGCCACTTAAATCCCGGAGGCTACGCTATTTGAATCCCGGAGGCACTTCCATAGATAACGTCAGTGAAGAATCAGAGGACTAGACAGAGATTTTGTACCTGCATTGAATTATACACGCTGTACACGGAATTTTGTGAATATATACAAAGTTTACATTTTTGTGTTTATAGATTTTGGCACGCCCAGTGGGACAACTCTGCCTCTCATCTCTTCACTGTTGATTCGCGGGCTCTATACGGAAGGAATCCAAAAATGGCATCGAGAAATCCCTCCTCCAAGATGACCTACGCTCAAGCTACCCGCTCCAAGGCATCATCCGTGACCAGTTCCGGTGACAGCCAAAACGTGGAAGGAGCAATGACTCGGAGCCGAGTGAGGAACCTGGGCATGCAGCTGCACGGGGCCCAGGACATCGCTCGCCATATCGTTCGAAGGATTGACAGAAGCTCCACCATGCCACGCAGAGCTATACGTAACAAAGGGTCATCCACTACAATGGAGGTTGTTGCCAACAACAATCCTACAAGTGAAGGAGCTCCCAGCAACAAGAGCCCGGTGAGCCCTACTTCCCCGAATAATACTCCAAGAAGTGGAAGCTCATCACAGTCATCACTTCCGCAGAGAACCTCACCGGAATGGAATCATATATACACGATCATGCCCGCCATGACAACGAACGCGGCCTCGGTGGAGGAACAACTAGCCAACATCGCCAAGGCTCTTGAGGGGATAACTACGTTCATGCATAACCAAGAAACGAGAATCAATGAGCTCAGTGAAAAGGTTGAAAGCGGGCGAAACGGCGAAACAAGTCGAGCTTCTGGGAAGCAGCCTCAAACTCAAGAAGATGAGATTGATGTCGAGTCACCGCGTCATCAAAGTAGGCCAGGAATGGAAGAGACAATCTCCCGTCCACCACCCGCCGAGAAAAGTATTCCAATTTCTAAGGGCATGATACATGTCGAGCAGTTGAACGACTACATCATGGGAGCAATTAAAGGGAAGCTCGAGGGAACACAATCTTCATATACTTACACTAAGCCATACACACAGAGAATTGAAGAAATGAAAATGCCGCTAGGCTATCAACCTCCCAAGTTCCAGCAGTTTGATGGAAAAGGTAACCCGAGGCAGCACATCGCCCACTTCATTGAAACTTGTAATGATGCAGGAACATATGGAGACCTCCTTGTCAAGCAGTTCGTCCGCTCTCTGAAGGGCACTGCCTTTGATTGGTACACAGACCTGGAGCATGGTTGCATTGATAGCTGGAATGATATGGAGCGCGAGTTTTTGACCCGCTTCTACAGCACCAGGAGGACTGTCAGCTTCTTGGAACTCACCACTACCCACCAATGGAAGGGTGAGCGTGCGGGCACTTACATCGAGAGATGGAGGGAATTGTGCCTTAACTGTAAAGAGAGGATATCACAAAGCTCCGCAATTGAAATGTGCATCCAAGGGATGCACTTCGAGCTCTCTTATATCTTGCAGGGAATCAAGCCTAGAACATTTGAAGAACTATCCAGTCGTGCTCACGACATGGAATTGAGTATTGAAGCCAATGGAGGGCTCGGCATGTCAAGTATCCCTAGCTCATCCAAGGCACCTGTAAAACAAGAATTCAAGAAAGGGGGCAAACCCTTCCCGAAACCAGAAAAGAAAGAGGCCATGAACGTAAAAACAGCACCAATGCGGGTTTTCGCCAAAGTAACTGAAAATCCCAGGCTAAGGCCATTTTCCCGCCCATCTCGGGGTACTAGAATCATTGAAGAGATGCAGCAAAAACAGTATCCGTTCTTGGACTCTGATGTGTCACCCATGTTTGATGAATTGTTAAAGCTTAAGTTGATTGAATTACCGGAGATGAAGCGTCCCGAAGAAGCTTCTAAGGCGGACGACCCCAACTATTGCAAGTATCATCGTCTCCTCGGACACCCGATTGAAAAATGCTTCGTCTTTAAAGATAAGGTGATGGGGCTTGCTCGTGATGGAAAGATTGAGCTGGCTGATGCAACTGCCTGCACCAACCAAATTTCATACGGAAGGTTCGCTCCGTTGGTTGTAGAGAGTGATGAAGAAGATGGGGGCAAGCAATACAAACGCCCGCTTCCATTCATTGTGAAACATGCTACTAGGCAACCGCCAGAGTCACCACAGGCTAATCCGGTATGCGAGAAGGATTGGGTAGTTGTTACCCGCAAAAAGCAAAGGAACGATGCTGGACACGTTAGATCTTTGAAGAGAATAACAAAGCGATGGGTTGAGAGAAACCCAGCAAGGGACCCCGCCTATGACACAAAGACGAAAGGACGTCCCGGCGAGCCTCGACCACCAGTCGCCTTGGCTCAATACATGCCGAAGGCGCTTCCTCCGCATGGTACAAATATTCTTGGAACTCGCTTGAGTATTAAAGAGAGACATGTTGAAGAGGAGGAATGTTCATTCCCCGTGATTGAGGGAGGTGACGAGGTTCAAGTCCACAAAGCCGCGTCTTATACCGCCGAGATAACTTTTAAAGATGAGGATCTGTTGCTTGGTGGTACACCACATAATCGTCCGTTGTTCGTTGAAGGGTATGCCCGCGAGCAAAAGATTAAAAGGATTTTGATTGATCAAGGGTCGGCGGTGAACATTCTGTCACTCCGAGCTATGAAAGAACTTGGCATCTCCACCGATGAGCTCTCTCAAAGCCGCTTAATGATTCAAGGGTTTAATCAAGGCGGACAAAGAGCACTCGGTACCATCAGACTCGACCTCAGGATCGGAACACTAAACTCGAGTACACTATGTTATGTGATAGATGCAAGGACGTCTTACAACATGCTGCTGGGCCGGCCTTGGATACATGAGAATGGAGTAGTTCCCTCGTCCTGGCACCAATGCCTCATGTTTGAAAAAGGCGGGGTGATAGAAAAAGTAGTCGCTGACGAAACCCCCTTCATCGAAGCAGAATCATACTTTGCAGATGCAAAGTTTTACTTGAAGAAACAAGTTGTAGAGGAGGCTGAGCAAAGCAATGTTGACACGCCTCTTGATCCAAAGTGGAAAGGCAAGCAGGTTGTAGACCAAGCTCATTGCGACAAGGAACTCGTGTTCCCACTTGCAAGGATTGAAACATTAAAAGCAGCTCCAGTTAAACCACTTAAAGATGAAGTTCAAGTTGAGACAAGTCAAACAGTGCCCGCTAAGCGCACTGGCGGCTTCGACCCTAATGCTTATAAACTTCTCTTCAAAGCTGGATATAATCCCAAAGAGCCAGAGAAGTTGGGGAAACTCATCCCAGAAGCTGGTGGGAAAGGCAAGTCAAATCAGCAGGAACCGCATGAACGGAAAGGGTTGGGTTATGTTCCCCCTAAACCAGTGCGAATATTCATAAACAGAGCCACAAGTAATTGCATCACTTCTACAGATGAGGAAAAAAGTGACAAGAAGCAGTCTGTTTTTGATAGAATCGGAGATGTAGAGTCACGACAATCAGTCTTCCGTAGACTTGGGCCGAATCCCAAACCGGCTAAAAGAAAATCAGTACATGACAGAATCGGGCCTATTCAGAGTTCAAAAGAGCAGACCAACCCTCCTACCGAAATAGAACCCTCAAAAAGGCTCAGGAGTGCCGTCCCGTCTCGCATGAGAAGAGAAGTTAATATCCATGTCTCGTGTGGTGAAGTGTTAAAAATCCAACCAAGAACCATTGTACACACCCAAGTGCAAGGAAGGAATCAAGAAAACATTGATTCAAGTTGTGAGGCAACCCAAGTCAAGATGAGATGGCATCGTCATTTCATATAACATTATACGACGAGACTCCAATCGAGGGTGAAGACGCAGAGGATGCGCCTCAAGAGTTAGAAGAAGGGGTACAAGCCGCAGTGGATGAACTAAAAGAGGTGGATCTAGGAATCCCTGAATGTCCTCGACCCATCTTCATTAGTTCACTCCTTTCCAACGAAGATGAAGAAATATATGTCACACTTTTGAAAGAATATATTGATGTATTTGCATGGACATACAAAGAGATGCCAGGGTTGGACCCAAAGGTAGCCGTGCACCGCTTGGCAGTAAAAAAGGGGTGTCGCCCTATTAAGCAAGCTCAACGGCGCTTTCGCCCCGAGCTCATTCCCTCAATCGAAGCAGAAGTCAACAAGCTTATAGAGGCTGGTTTCATTCGCGAAGTTAAATACCCAACTTGGATATCCAGCATTGTGCCTGTGCGCAAGAAGAATGGCCAGATCCGCGTGTGCGTAGACTTTCGAGATCTTAACGTTGCATGCCCGAAAGATGACTTCCCGCTCCCTATCACAGAGTTAATGATAGATGCCGTAACTGGACACGAGATCATGTCATTCATGGACGGCTCATCCGGTTACAATCAAATCCGCATGGCGCCAGAAGATGAGGAGTTTACAGCATTTCGTACACCAAAAGGTATCTACTGCTACAAAGTGATGCCCTTTGGTTTGAAAAATGCTGGTGCTACATACCAAAGGGCCATGCAGACTATATTTGACGATATGCTGCATAAAATGGTGGAATGTTACGTAGATGACCTGGTTGTGAAGTCGAAACTTCGCACAGATCACATGATGCATCTAAGACAAGTCTTTGACCGCTTACGGAAGTTTCAGCTCAAAATGAACCCCCTGAAGTGTGCTTTCGGGGTTGCTGCCGGAAAATTCCTTGGGTTTACCGTTCGACATAGGGGCATTGAGATTGAACAAGCAAAGATTGACGCTATAATGAAGATGCCTGAGCCACGGAACCTTCATGAGCTTAAAAGCTTGCAAGGGAAGTTGGCTTATATAAGAAGATTCATATCAAACCTAGCAGGAAGATGTCAGCCCTTTAGCCGATTAATGAGGAAGGGTGTCCCGTTTGTATGGGATGAGGCCTGTAAGAACGCATTCCAAAACATCAAGTCCTATTTAATGAAGCCGCCCGTGCTGACGGCTCCAATTCCAGGACGCTCGTTGATCCTTTACATCTCCGCCCAAGAAAGCTCTGTGGGTGCTTTACTTGCACAAGAAAATGATAATGTGAAAGAAAATTCCCTTTATTATTTAAGTAGAATGATGACGTCAAATGAGCTCAAATATCTGCCGATTGAGAAGTTGTGTTTGGCTCTTGTATTCGCAATTCGGAAACTCAAGCACTATTTTGAAGCGCATACAATTCGACTAGTTTCCAGGGCAAACCCAGTTAAGTATGTCATGGCAAAAGTTGTTCTTTCCGATCGACTTGCGAGGTGGTATTTATTATTTCAACAGTTTGAGATTACTTATGTACCACAGAAATCCATCAAGGGGCAAGCCTTAGCAGATTTCCTAGCCGATCATCCAATTCCTGCTGAATGGGAGTTGTCCAGTGACCTACCTGATGAGGATGTGCTTGTGGTTGAAGTTTTACCTCCATGGAAGATGTACTTTGATGGAGCGGCACACAAAGAGGGGGCAGGCGCTGGAGTTGTCTTTGTTGCGCCGGAAGGGGAAGTGCTTCCTTATTCATTTACCTTGACGGAACGCTGTTCGAACAATGTTGCCGAGTATCAAGCACTTATTTTGGGACTTGAAATTGCAGCTGATATGAAGCAGCTAAGGGTTAATATATATGGGGACTCCAAGCTGATTGTCAACCAAGTACTTGGGGTTTATGAAGTAAAGAAACCAGAGTTGATTCCATACAACAGTTACGCAAAAATGCTCCTACATTGGCTGGGAGATGCTACAATTGAACACATCCCGAGGAAACAGAATAAGCAAGCCGATGCCCTAGCTGCTTTAGCTTCAACTGTATCACATCCTACAGATGAGGCTCGGTTACGCGTGTGCCAAAAATGGGTGGTCCCTCCAATCTTCGAAGACGATGGCTCTCTTGACGACATTGTTGAACTCCCGACTGCCTCTGTCTATGAGGTAGATAAAGAGGATTGGAGGCAATCATTGATTGACTACCTTGCTGATGGGAAGTTACCTCAAGACCCGCGTAGGAGGGTAGATGTAAGACGTCGGGCTCCTCGCTTCATATATTTCAAGGATGCGTTATATCGGCGCTCGTTTGATGGCGTATTTCTTCGATGTTTAGGTGAGGAGGAAGCTTTACAAGCGATGGAGGAGGCTCACTCTGGAGTGTGCGGTGCTCATCAATCTGGTCCTAAGTTACATTTTCACATCAAAAGGATGGGTTACTACTGGCCTACGATGGTGAAGGATTGCATAGACTATGCGCGTAGATGTCAAGCATGTCAATTCCATGCGAACTTTATCCATCAACCTCCTGAACCGCTACATCCAACGGTAGCATCCTGGCCATTTGATGCGTGGGGGCTCGATGTGGTTGGTCCTATTACACCCAAATCATCAGCAGGGCATTCGTATATATTAGCAGCCACCGATTATTTCTCAAAGTGGGCTGAAGCAGTAGCTTTAAAGGAAGTGAAGAAGGAAAATGTTGCAGATTTCATCCGAGTTCACATTATCTATCGTTTTGGCATCCCTCGGTACATCCTCACCGACAACGGGAAACCATTTGATAATAAATTGATGGATAAAATCTGCAAACTTTTTGAGTTCGAGCAAAGAAATTCGTCAGCTTATTATGCAGCTGCAAATGGACTTGCCGAGGCTTTTAATAAAACTCTATGCAATCTACTGAAAAAGGTGGTGTCGAAGTCAAAACGTGATTGGCAAGAGAGGATGGAAGAAGCACTGTGGGCGTACAGAACTACATACCTTACACCAACACAAAGCACTCCATACTCACTGGTATATGGGGTTGAAGCAGTTTTGCCTCTTGAACGCCAAATACCTTCTCTAAGGTTAGCTATCCAAGAAGGTCTTACAGACGAGGATAATGTAAAGTTACGGTTGGCAGAGTTAGAAGCTCTCGACGAGAAGAGGTTGCAGGCTCAACAAAGTTTAGAATGCTATCAAGCTCGAATTTCTAGAGCTTTCAACAAGAGGGTAAGGATTCGCTCATTTCAGGTGGGTGACAAGGTGCTGGCGGTTCGTAGGCCTATCATTATTACAAGGAAAACTGGGCACAAGTTTACTCCAAAATGGGATGGACCTTACGTGGTACAAGAAGCATACTCAGGAGGCGCTTACAAGCTAATTGATGAAAATGGTGTGCGAGTTGGCCCCATTAACGGGAAATTCTTAAAGGTCTATCACCCTTAAGCACACGGGACTAGTTGATGAATGATATCCACCAAAAATGTAGTACGTGGTTAAACTGCTAAAACATCTCGCCTGTCTATGGGTGGGCCCAAGTCATAGACGCTCCTGGCCCGCATGAGCTTAAACTGTGAACGGCTTTACTTTTTTTAAAAAAAATTGAACTACGTTTGACTTGATCTCCTTTTCAGGAGTACGTAGGCAGCTTAGAAATTTTATTGTCTAAGTTCAGTCATAACAAAATTTTTATACTTTCGTCCAAGATAGTGACTCTATTCAAGCACACGTTAATTATTAGCATGGGAAGGGGGAGAACAAGTCTAGGAAGCATTGTGAGTCTTGGAATGGAAAATAATTATCAAAGCATGGATTCACGCAACAATTAGTCATTGTTTGGTATTATGGTCATATCTCGGTCTATAATAATCTGATTGAGGTGATCTGGATATCGTTGGAATGCTAACTTACAGAGCTACGACTTTCATGAAGACACCTAAGCTTGAATATGACTGTTGAAGGGTCAAAATTTGAGGGAAAGTGAAGGCACAAATCTGTCCAGAATTTTCTATGTTCATATCTCATTTAAATCTTCCGAGGAGAGGGTATATGGGTAGTATTCATGGTTCTTTTTAGTGTCCATGGATATTAAAATGCAAGAGAAGTATTCTTCAACAGTCCAAGCAATTATTGGGCCCTTTTGAAGGAACGAGCTACAGCGAAGCAACAATACAAATTCAAAGCTATAATGGAAAAGCGAGATAATGGAACGACAGCTTGTGTGGCATCGAGCTATCGTTGAGCATGGGTAAAAAGAATTATTTCAATTGTTGATCATGAATTTCTTTGAACTTCTCTTTCGTGCTCGGGGGTCCAATTGTTAATGGCGGTGGATTAATTGCTATGATCGTTGTACATCACTAGGCTCTTTTGTCCCGTTAAACCGTTTATGTTAAAATTATACCAAATTCAGAAAAAACCGCGAGAAGAAGTGCGGTAATAATTAATGTTATTATTATTATTATTATTATTATTATATTACTATTAAAATATCAAAAAGAAGCAAAAGGAAAAAAAAAACGAAACAGAAACGAAAAAAAAAAACCAAACAAAAAAATGCCAAAAAAAAAAAAAAAGGAAAAGGGAAGTTGGAATGTTACAGATGCATTTTGTTTGTGTATGGTAAGTTATGTGTACGTACATAGTATATATAATATTAAATGTATGTTATGTATATATATAATATAAAAGGCAAGATGGTGGCGTGGTGCTGTAAAGAAAGTAATTTGTGGGGCCAAGTGAAGTAATTCCTTATCTCATTCCCAATAAAAATGGTAGTCACGTGGAGGCTATCTTGTGTAGATGAATTCAAGCTAAATTGCAGCTTGAGTCTTCCTTCATAAAATCGAGGAATAGTTCCCAGTGCCATAAACAGAGCCTTCCTCAATCGCAGTGTACGTGATGGTAAGCTACTCCGGCGAAGAGCTCCAACAGCGGCGACTGGTAGCGACGGAACTCCAGCTCACCGGTTGGCCTTCCGCAACGGGAAAAGATGGGAAACGGAGCTTCCGAGATGCGATCCTACGGCAACAAAAGTAGACTCCAAACCAGCGGTTCGCGACGGTCAGCGTCCGGCAGCGGCTAGTATCAACATGCATGTGTGGTTTCCGGCAGCGTCGAATTCCAGTGGCGACAGGGAGACCTCCGGCGACTTCTGCAAAAAAAAAAAAAAAAAAAAATCAAACGATGGTTGGTGGGGTTGTGTTGTCATTGTCTAATTCAATCCATCCCATCTATTAAGTCTCCACTTTCACGCAAGGTAGGCCTTCACCAACATCACTGCCCTTCAGTGGCATCCGCGGTGGGTAGAAGCAGCTTCCTTCGTCTCTTTCTTCTCTCAAGAAAACAAGGCTCCAGCGACAAGCTTCAATCTAACTCCAGTAGCGAACTCCGGCTGCAGAGCCCCTATGGCGCAACCTTCAGTAGCGACGAAGCTCCGGCAATCGTGGTGGTAAAACTCCGGCAATTTCTGCAAAAACAAAAAAGGATTCCGGCGAGGCGGTAGCATCAACAGTTGAGCGGTGGTTTCCGACGGCCAACACTCCGGCGACCGGTGGCTTCTGTGAAAAAAAAAAAAAAAACAAACAAAAACAAAATTTCCGCCGAGGAGCTCCAACGATCAGCAACACGGCAGCGTCGGCAGCTGGGTTCGACGGACAGCAGTCCAGCAACCTTCAACAATTCCGGCGGTCTCTGGCGACTTCGAAAAAAAAAAAACAACAACAAAATTTCCACCGAGGAGCTCCAGCAATCGGCAAAAAGCAGCGCTAGTGGTTGAGCGGCGATTCCTGGGGGCAATTATCCTTTCATGTCGTGCGGTTGTTTCTGGCGTTCCCTTCTTCTTGTTCCTACAGATATATATATATATATATATATATATATATATATATATATATATATATATATATATATATATATATATATATATATATATATATATATATATATATATGGGGGAAATGAAAGTGAAAAGGTAAGAGTAAGAAGTGTACCTGGTCAAAAATTCAGACTATGAGTGCTTCTCAATCTTTAGTAGCAGGCTTTCGGCGTTGATGGTAAAGTTGATAGGTTCTTGCCTCAATTTATAGGAGATGCCAAGCGTTTGATTCGGAATGGGAGGGTTAGATTCGTAGAGTTCATGTTTGAATGGGAGTCAAGATGAGGTGTGATGCGCTTCTAATCTGATCTTGTTGCAGGTTGTTCGGGCAGTTAGTAACCTGATTCCAGGCACCAAAAAAAATTAATTTAATGGGTTAATGACATCTTGTTGAATTAGAGGAAGTTGATTTTGGATCCAGGTATTCTGTTTGAGTACAATACATAAATTAATGGGTCCAATTGTGCAAATGAGTTAATGGGTTATGGACAAAGGTGTGATTAAATTAAGGTCATTCTGGCAGTGGTTGGGTTCGTATGGAATGGCTCCAGTTATACTTTGCAATAAGGGTCAATTTGCTATTAACTAGAGGCCAAACTTGGTTTTATTTTATATAAGTGATTTTTGAACTCAAAAAAAATTCCAGGCATATGTTATTAAAATGGTGTGGGCTCATTTGGTGGCAATTTAATCTTTTGATTTGGCGCGAAACGTCCGGACATACATTTGGGCCCATGGAGTTAAAATGCACCTTGATGAAGTTGAAGGATCATTTGTTAAGTTTCGAGACTTCGTCACTCCAAGCATGTGAAGCGGCATGTCCCGACAAGTCTCGAGGGGGCAATTTGTAGACACCGAAAATTTGAACTCGATAAATGGACCGATTAAAGTGTAATTGGGCTAATGTTGAGAATGATGATTGGGCCAATTTGATTAATTGGATCATGGAAATTAATTTAATTTAATTAGCCCAATTAAGTTTGATTTGGGCCATTGAATTAATTAATTAGTTGGCCCAAGCCCGTTTTATGTTTGAATTTAAATTATAATTATAATTTAAATAATTTAAATATAATATTAATTTTATTATATTTGAATTAGATAATTATAATTTAATTTGAATTTGAATTAGATTATATAATAATGAACCTGAACTTGATCTTGGACAAGGTTCATTTTCTTAATTAATTAATTAATTAATTAGTTAACTAAAAAGGGGGGTTGGTTGAGGAATTTTGGTTAAGCTTTTAGTATAAATAGGGTCTTCATTTTCATTCCAAAAGACAACAATTGAAGACTTGAGAAGTTAAAGACGTAAAGGCTTTGAAGGCATTGAAGAACGCTTGACAACTTGAAGGCTTGAGAGCTTAAAGGAACTGAAGAACGCTTGAAGATTTGAAGGCATTTTTGTTGATTTTGCAGGCAATTTGAATCCATTGCAGGGTTGATTACTTCTAAATTCTTGACGCTCGTTGTTGGAAGTTACGCCACTTAAATCCCGGAAGCTACGCCACTTGAATCCCAGAGGCACGCGCCACTTAAATCCCGGAGGCTACGCTATTTGAATCCCGGAGGCACTTCCATAGATAACGTCAGTGAAGAATCAGAGGACTAGACAGAGATTTTGTACCTGCATTGAATTATACACACGCTGTAAACAGATTTTGTGAATATATACAAAGTTTACTTTTTTGTGTTTACAATATTGACCGATGACCATGTTTTGTAAAATAGTTAGCCTATCAGCCAATTTTTGATTTATTTGATCACTATTAGTTGTTTGATATAATTAAAAAATCAATATGGGTATTTGATTAATTAACTTTTTGTAAAACTTATTACTCCAAAATGCTAAAATTCAAAGAGATGCTCCAAGTAATTTTTTTGATTAGCTTTTTGAGAAAGTTATTTTGCATGTAATCCAATTATAAGCTAACAACTAATTTATCAAACACTTTTTTTACAATCAAGTAATTCTATCAACTAATCAAACATACTAACCCAATCAACTAACAACTATCAGCTATCAATTATCATCTATTTACCAAACACCCCATTGTGTTTTCTATTTTTACAACCAACTTCAAAATTAATCAAATTTAAAACTTAATCATAAAATTGTTGCTTTTAAGAAAATAAAGATAATTATTCAAACATGATAATTTAACTTATTTGCATTACTTATTTAAACATTGAGAAAATCAACGATTTGGTCCCTGGCGAACTGTCAATGTAGTCCCTCAATTTCATATTATCAATTTGATCTTCGAAATCAATTATTTTTAGTCAATTAAACCCTTCCGGCCGTACTTTGTCGTTCAGCCGGTGAGAGGTCCGATTTAGCATGGATATTTTGGTCTTTTCGTATCTTCACACCGGACCTGAATACTGCTCAGTTGCCGAGAGCATGAATCTTCAAAATTTCAACGCCATTGTCAAGCCCTCGACTACGGCGCCATTGACAAGCCCTCAGAGCTTCATTCCCTCAAGAAATCCTCCGCCGAGAGCATGAATTTGCAAAATTTCAAGAATCAAACTCTCTACTCTACTCACCAGATCCTCGAAACGT